CGGGAGGGGTAGTGATGCAGAAGGAAAACATTTCTCTTTCTTATGGAACTACGTCTAGGTGAGAGGCATGGAAGTGAATTTTGGATTGTTTAGCATGAAACTCCATACAGAACAGCATCTAATACATAAAAGAAACAGACAAACAAGAGGGGGAGAAAAGGATAAATGAATATGATTAGGTACTTACTCCAATGCCAACAGGCATGCCCGGCATATGTGGTACAGCGGGAGCGTTTGATGGATAATAGAAGGAACCATCAGACACCGGGGATGGAGGCCTAACAGGCGCTTGAGATGGAACAAAACTCTTTGCATTTGGATTGAGTTTGAATTCCTGATAACAATATTTAAATTTAAAATGAAAAAAAGACTTGTTGCATGAGCTAGTTGCTAGCATATGAATACAGAGATAAAATAGAACTGGGTACATAGCAAGAGATCATATGTGTAATATTAATAACAATAGTGGTAACGATAGCTGTTGGCACTTCAGGCATATGATTAATAGAAAAGACTACATTTATGTCTGACTTTGTGGTCGTGAAAAACATAAAGGTCTATCAATCATACCTTAGCATGGGGATTCAATGTAGACTTTTCTGAAGACAATGAACCCAATGATGAGCTTGGTGACAAACCAGGGCCTCCAGAAGTCGGTGCAGCAGTTGCACGTTCTGAATTGGAAGATGCAGAACTACCAGGCCGTCCATGAGAATTTACACAGTGTGTTTGAACATGTGCTTTTCCAGTCACTGGACCCTCTAACATCTCACTAGAACTCTTCTCATAACCTTTTGATGAAGCCGGAGCTGGAGCATAAGAGGTGGCATTTGGGGATAATACCCCTTTATCAAACGCATCTTTCTTCTCATTCAGCAGTGGCTGCGAATCTACATCCCATAAACAACAAATTAACTTCATGACCAGTGTAATGAAAAAATATTAGAAGACAATGCTAAAAATGGCACTGAAGCAAGCTTCCCAAGCTTTGGGTGAAGAGAGAAAAAAACCACAAGATAGAACAAAGTCGAGCTCCAGAAAACTGCATCTAAACTTAACCACCTACTTAAGTGTCTGAGGAAG